ATTATTGGGTTATCGGTTCGTTATTGGTTTTTGAATATTGGGTTATTGGGTTAACCGATAACCCATTAAGAATATAATAATTTACTATTTTAATTTTTAGTTATACATATATATAATATATTAAACAAAAAATATTAATATAATTAATAGTATATTAGACTAAAAATATAATAACTTTACGCAATAATTAACACTACTTAACAGTTAACTCTCCTCTCTACTTTTAGTTATATAACCTTTAGGTTTAATTTTACTTTTTAGTATTACTTATTTACTTTAGTTAGTTTATAATTGACTAATATTAGCTTTTGCACGATTGTAAATATGTGCAATTTGATTAACGTTAGAAATTCATATTTTGTGCTTTATTTTAAAAAAATAACGTAAGAACTTCATTTAGTTAGGTCTTTTCTTTATATATTATTTACCAGGAGCATGGCCTCATTTGCTACTGCTTTTACTTTTGTCTATGATTTGAATTTATTTGATTTCTTTATTGCATAAAGGGGACCTCGTTTTATATATTATGGTGATCGAAAATTGACCAAGACTTTGTTGTGATGACCAAAATACAGCAAGTTGGTCCCTGTTGTCCCGTTTGGGATGATTATTTCGATGTATGCATATCGCGTCAAATTATTGGATAAGTCATATATTTGTTTTGAAAGCATTTTCTTATTGGTTAAACCGAAAACCGAACCGTTAAAGACCTAAAATCGATAAATTGAAAACCGATAACAAATATCTTATTGGTTTGGTTATCGGTTTAGCATATTTAAAAATCGAAAACCGATAAACCGAACCGATAATACTTAAAACCGAACTGAACCGACCAATACGCACCCCTAAATTTCTATCTATTGCATAAGACAGAAAAAACAAGGATTGAATTTTTAATTTTGTAAAATAAAATTTAAAAATTAAGTTTGTTAATGTGATGGACATAAAATAATTGCAGGGAGATTGGATTCGAACACAAGACAAACAGGAGAAATCCTCATCAATGGTCGTAGACAATCACTTGCTTTTGGCACTTCGGTACAACAATTAATATCTCACCTTCTTTTTTTCTAGTTTAACTTCTATATACTGTCAACATAACTCTTTTTTTTCCTAAAAGGCATACGTAACGCAAGATGACACATTGATGACAACCCTAACAGTAAAAGAAGCAATTTACTATTCAGCCCAACTCCAATTACCGGATTCGATGTCTAGATCAGAGAAGAGAGATAGGGCTGAACAAACCATAAGAGAAATGGGTTTACAAGATGCAATGAACACAAGAATTGGTGGATGGAGTGTTAAAGGGCTAAGTGGTGGACAAAAAAGAAGAGTTAGTATTTGTATTGAAATATTAAAAAGGCCCAAACTATTATTTCTTGATGAACCAACAAGTGGGCTTGATAGTGCTGCTTCTTATCATGTTATGAATAAAATTGTCCAATTGGCTAAACAAGATGGAAGAACTATTGTTGCTTCTATTCATCAACCAAGTAGTGAAGTTTTTCAACTTTTTCACAATCTTTGCCTTTTGTCCTCTGGAAGAATTGTCTACTTTGGTAACATTTCAAATGCTAATGAGGTACGTACATATTATAATGTTAGTACTACTGGTGTCGAATAAGCGGGTTGGGTTAAATATATCAACAAAAGACTAATCAAACTTTTTTTTTTTGGTTTTGTAGTATTTTGCTTTGAATGGTTTCCCATGTCCAACTATGAGGAATCCATCTGATCACTATCTAAGGACAATCAACAAGGACTTTGATATTGTAAGTAAAAAAAATATATTTTCTTTGTCATTATTTATTAAAATCAAATTATTAATGTTTATTTTGATCTTAATTAATTAGGATATTGAAAAAGGAGTTGGTGGAAAAGCTACTGCTACAGAAGCAATTGATATTCTTGTGAAGTCATACAAGACTTCACAGGGTTGTCAACAAGTTCAACGTAAAGTTTCAGAAATTTGTCAACAGGTTTGTATAATATTAATTATTTTTTGAAAAAAATATTAATTTGTGATCTAATGAATATTTAATTTGTGTATAGAGTGGAGGAGAAGAGGCAAAGAAAGGGAGTCAAGCAGGTTTTGTTACTCAATGTATGGTTCTCACAAGGAGGTCTTTCGTGAACATGTATCGTGATCTTGGTTATTACTGGCTACGTTTTGCAATTTATATTGCTTTGTGTTTGGGTGTTGGAACTATTTTTCATGACATTGGACATGACTATGGATCCATTCAGGTAAATATTGTTATTCATCGTTAAATAGAATTAGCGATGAATTTTTGTTAATCCTGTATTTTTTTAACGTTTTTCAGGCTAGAGGTTCAATGTTGATGTTTGTTGCTGCCTTCTTGACTTTTATGGCTATTGGTGGATTCCCTTCTTTTGTTGAAGATATGAAAGTATATATATGACACTTATTAACTATCTCTATACAATTAATAATTTGTCCAATGTCCATTTATACTATGATACTTATATACAATGTCTTTTTTTTTGTCTAGATTTTCACTCGAGAAAGATTAAATGGACACTATGGTGTAGCTGCATATGTGGTGGGAAATACATTTTCTTCCATTCCTTACCTTATATTAATCTCAGTAGTACCTGGCGCGTTGGCTTATTACCTCGTTGGACTACAAAAAGGGTTTGATCACTTCGCGTATTTTGCACTAGTTCTTTTCGCGACCATGATGTTAGTTGAGAGTCTCATGATGATTGTAGCAAGCATTGTCCCCGACTTCCTCATGGGAATCATAACAGGTAAGGATGTTAAATGAACGGATTGAACTAAATTTCAGCACGTTAAAATTAATAAATGAGGAGGGGGAGGGGGCATATTTAATTTTCATGTACTAATTTTGTGATCGTTTGATAATATATAGGAGCTGGAATTCAAGGTGTTATGATGCTTAATGGAGGTTTTTTCAGATTGCCTAATGATCTTCCTAAGCCATTTGGAAGTACCCAATGTATTACATTGCATTTCACAAATATGCAAATCAAGGATTTTACAAGAATGAATTCTTGGGATTAACTTTCCCTAATGAACAAATTAGAGGGCCAGCCATAATTAGTGGTGAAGAAATATTGAGAAATGTATGGCAAGTGCAAATGGGATATTCAAAATGGGTTGATGTTGCTATATTATTTGGAATGGTAATACTCTATAGGTTCATGTTTTTGGGAATAATTAAGACTCTGGAGAAAGTTAAACCTATGATTAGAGCATTTATGGCTCGTTCTTCCAAAAATCCAACTCATGCTGAAAATCTAGACTCTTGATAAAGATGCATTGAGAATTACTATATTTTGTTTGTTGATGTAAAATGTGTACAAAAGTTTATTTGTAGTTTTGTTCAAGACCAATGTCTGGTTGGTCTTTTTATGTACCTACTTTTGCTAGTATTAAAAGTTGGAGTAATTTGTATTTTCGTTAATTGTACTATGGATTAATATATTATCTAGACTTTATTTGTTTGCAAAGGTCTCGATCTTTAATCATTCCGATTTTATTTATTTATTTACATAAAGACCTAATGTAACATACAATTTTGATAGCTTGCTTGCTTACCGGCTTCTTGAGAAGCCATTATACTGAGGAGGAGAAGACTAATTATGGGTGAGTTTGTTGGCACCTCTCCCTATGATGGAAAGTCCTTCTTAAAGGTTTACAATCCACTAGATGAAACTACATTGTGTACAAAAAAAAATTAAAAAATTCTTAGGCCTTTTTTTTTTACTACTTCTTGGTGTATGATACTATTCATCATGATCTAGTTGATTGTGCATCTTATCGGGATAAGAGTTATTTGACAAGAGAAAGTGGAGTTTATCCTAAATTTGTCATGTTGTCTCTTTGCATTTCATCTTTTGATGTATTACTAATATGCTCTATTTAGCATTATTTTTATACACTCTACCAAACGACCCCTTAGGATAAGGGTAATGTGAGTTAATAACAATACCATTTTTTGGGTTCTCGTATCTTCTTGATGTATGGGATAAGCCAAGTCTTTTGCCATTTCTCTATTGACTAGTCTTGTTAATGCAAGATAATTGTTTAATTCTTAGAAATATGCCTCCTTGGTGTAGTGATATTTGTGTTAATCATTTATTAACTAATGATTAGTTTTATTTTATTTTATGTTTTTACAGAAAATTTGAATTTAAGGACGAATTCTTTTCAAAAAGAGAAAAAAGAAAAGTTTTATATGCGCCCGTTAAAAAAAATTAAATACAAAAATTGAGTTTTACAAAATTATTATTTATTTGGATCGGGTGATTAATCTCTAAGATTATGATAGAGTTTCTATACATTTTATCTTCCTCAATCCTACTTTATAAGCTTATATTAGATATGTTATTATTTTGTATTATAAACAAGAGTTATACAATGGCCTTAAATAATTATGTTTATGCAAATATTTCAAATTTGAATTAATTCAATTAGTGACTTTTGCATAATAGTAATATCATAGTCTACTCACTTTTTAAGTTGTTTAATTAAAAAAAATTTAGTTCAATCTCGTCATGCGATTTCAAATTTCACAATTGAAATTTTATATGATGTCTTAGAATTTCATATTTGAAATTTAAAATTCCAAACATATGATTAAAAAGTGGATTATTTGAATTTTATCCTTCCAAATATCATATGATTATACTAAAAAGAAAGCCAAAGTAAGAAAAATAGGAAGTGGTTATAATATTAATTAAATAAGTAAAAACTTACATAAATCTCGTAGTGTTAAGAACTAATTACATTGTATCTTCTAAATTACAAAAAATCTTTAAAATTATAAGATGTCTAATACATCAGTAAACTTACGGAGACATAACTCATGAATGTATTCGAAAGCGGATAGAAATGTATTCGAAAGGAGAGGGATTTATCCAGGGCATCGCGTAGTATAGCCGTACACTATACTAATTGTACTTTTATATAAAAGGAAAAAAATAAATAAATCAAAAAACATCAAAACGAAGTCGGCCCGCCCCGTATACGGTTTAGAGTGTACAATTTAGGGAAGAAAGAAAAAGGAGTTGCGGCAGAGCGAGAGAGAGAGATGGATGAAGAAGAGCATGAAGTTTACGGAGGAGAAATCCCAATGGAGGCTGAAATGGAAGCTGATATGGACAATCACCCTGCCGCCGACGAGGATGCCGTTAAGGTACTCTGTTGTATTGTTGTATGTTATATTTTTTTCATGTGATAAAAGAAAAACCCTAATTAGCATTGGATCTAATGAGATTGGAATTGTGAAATTTGAAGGAATTGGATGAGATGAAGAAACGATTGAAAGAGATGGAAGATGAAGCTGCTGCTTTACGTGAGATGCAGGCCAAAGTTGAGAAAGAGATGGGTTCTGTTCAAGGTAAAAAAAATTCACTTTTTCTTTTGCTTGATTACTATATTTTGCTGTTATGCAGAGTAGGCGGAGCTAGAATTTTAAGATTAGTTTTTGTTTTCAAAGTGATAAATGATATTTGAAAATTAGAGTTGTTTTTGAATTTTTGTGAGTAATTTGGAGTGAAAAAAACATTTTTTGTGTTCTTAAAGTATCTGAAAAGGTGAAAACAATTGAGTTCTGAAATTTTCAGGAATTTATGGCCGAATGTGTTTTCTGGAGTTCTAACTCTGGAAAAAGTAAGAAAAATCATGGCCAAACGCCTTACGCCCCCTTGGATAATGCAATTTACTAGGATAACAACAACATACCGAGTGAAATCCACAAGTGAGGTATAGGGAGAGTAGAGTGTAGGCAGATTTGACCTCTGCCTCGTGAAAACAGTTAAATTCCAAAATTTTCAGGAATGTTATAACCAAATGTGTTTTACTCCGGAAAGAAGTAAAAATATTTCATGGCCAAACGCCTTACGCCCCCTTGGAAACTGCAATTTTACTAGGATAACAACAAATACCCAGTGCTTTCTCATAAGTGAGGTCTGGGGAGGGTAGAGTGTAGGTAGACCTTACCTCTGCCTTGTGGAGGTAGAGAAGCAATTTACTAGGATATGGATAAATTATTTTTATAACACAAATAAAAGGTGTGCATTAGGTTCTACCAAACCCGTAAGCTCAATCATGGCTCTGCCCCTGCTTTTCTATAATTTGGTGTCAATGCTTGAAATCCTATTAATCTACTATGGGAATGTTTGTTGGCTTGTTAAGAAGTGGTTGTAGGTTTAATATTCTGACATTTTCCTTAAAAAGTTGTGATATTTGGGTTATTGGGATCTAAGGATGCTTTGTTCTGCTAGGGTCTGTGACAGTTACTATACTATCCTTAGAAGTTGAACAATCTTTTTATGTTAAATCCCTAAAAATAATGTCTGTAAGAGACTATGAAAAGATGCTTCTTTTCTGGTAGAGTTTGCCACAGTAACTGATGAAACGTCTGGTAGAGTTTGCCATAGTAACTGATCAAACGTTACCCAAAACAATGATCAAGTTTTGTTTGTCTTTGGAAATGGAATAAAACATTACATAATGGAAACGAAAGATTCAATATTTTGTAAAGACTAGTTTATCAGTTCTACCACTAAACTTGCGGGAAGCCGGGAATTGTCAATGAGGCTTAAAGTATACATTTCTACCAGTAATTGGTTGTGATTAGTCTAGACTTAAAATTTTCAATAACCTAACACTGATATCCGTCTGAAGTCGACCCTTAGGACCGCAGTCCTTGAAACTTGGGGATATGGGCCCATAAATACCGGACGTAGTTCTCTTGGTGCAAGGCTCGAACCGGTTTTAGTCACAAGTCCCTCAACCTTTGGCAATTGAACCAAGTTCGGGGGACAAATTTTTTCTTAATTATTGTTGAAGTTCTATTTTCTGAGTTAATGGTACCAGTTTTAAAAAGAAGTTTTATTTTTTAAAATGGATTAATCGTTTTCGGAACCATTTATTTTGCAGATCCTGCTAATGCAGATGCATCCCAGGCAAACCGCGAGGAGTTGGATTCAAGATCAATATTTGTTGGCAATGTAAGAACTAAAAATCTATTGTTTCTATGTGGTGATTGAATTCTTGGAGAAGTGCTCTACTTGATTCAAGAATGTTTTCAGATAACTTGGTGTATCCTTAAGTGATTTGTTTGATTTTCCGGTGGAACTGATTTTGTTGATCAAATTTGATAATTTGAACTCTGCCTTGTTAGCTTGCTCACATGGCTAATTCCAAGCATAGATAAATGTATGTTGTGGTAGGCTGACAACCAAATTAAAATTAGTTAATTTATAAATCCTCACAATATCGAATATATTATGATATACTTACCTAGGCTCGTGTTACACCTTTTGAATAGTGTAATTAAGCAGGTCCAAGTGGAGGGAAATGGATATAGAAGATACTCGTAGCAGATATCAATTGTTTGGTTTTGATGCACAGTAGTATTAATTGTTGTATATTTGATAGTCCCGTTGTTTAATAAAAGTATGAATCTGTATGCAGAAGAAGGTTGTTTATGTAGTGTGACTTTTAATTTGCCGTGCAAGTGCATATTTTATATTGCATAAGCCTATGCTACACTGTCTCTTTTTTTTCTTTTGGCATACCTATGTCAGTATACCATGGTTTCTGGCAAGGGATGAATGTTGGATCTTGAAAAGAATCTGAGCCTCCAACCCAAACCTTAAGGGAATGGATGCGGAGTATCCCGATACCATTTGAACCACTTTGAAACCTCTTACACAAACGATGAGAGGCAAGTTAATTCTCTAACAGCTTCCTCCACATGTCATAGGTTTACATGTTGTGAAGCCCCTGAAAAAGCTGATGCTTCTAAGGCTTGAACACATTAATTTGATGATAAATATGGTAATGGATTTTATTTATGTGTTATAAATTGAAAATGTATCTATATGGATGTCGGATATGCCTTGGAGTTGAGTTGGAAAGATCAGGCATGGGTTAAAGGACTTAAGAAATGAAAAATAAACCATTTCCTATAATATATATACAAGGAGATAAAACTATGATATTTGTGAGTGGGAAAATAAGTATCCACTTAGTCATGAGGGTGGAAAGCATTTCATATGTACTTGCATATATAAAATAATTGATAACTTAACCCACGCTAAGCCTAACGCTGAAGGAAGGAAGAGGAGGATCAGATTATGACACACAAGAATTATATTAGGCAACTCCACTTCACATAGTGAATATGAAATGTGGGGCCGAAGGGAGGAATCTACTTGAACTCTTTTCCCTTCCATATTAGTGACACCAAGAAGCTTGGTAGGAGAAATTGAGAGTTGATTTCACAAGAAAAATTCTTGCAGATTAAAAGTAGCAACACCATAATAAGTGTAATCACTACTAGCTTATATTTCAAGGTATCGATGTCACCATGTGTTCTACTTGCTATTTTTTATTACTATTTGAGACGTGCATATTAATACTTGAGAGTTTAAAATGAGGAATTGAGCATGAATGATAATATTAGAATATGAGTTGAGCTAATTTTTGACAGATTTGAACCTTAGATTCATGTTTTGGGTTGAATCTTAAAATGAGTCAACCAAGGGTTTAGACTTATGGAATGTAATGGTAGATGACTAGTATCATGTGGTACTTCTCCTTCCCGCTCTGCAAAGCCTGCTTCTGAAGTTTTTCAGTTAGGAGACTTTAAGTACTTTGGTGGTTAAAGGATCAAGTTTTTCTTAATTAATTACTTGTCGTTGTGACAAGTAAACTTCCTTTTAAATGATAATTTTTCCTGCTCCAAGTTAAAATTAAATGACTTTTCTTTTAAGCATCTTAATTTTAATATGACAATCCTTCAATCAAGTGCTCTTTTCCTCCCATATTCAACCTGTCAATTAGACACATCTCCATGCGACTCGTATAATGATCTAGTCAAAATTTTCTCTTAATTTGGAGCTAAACAAACCAAATTCTATTTTGGGGTGGAGGTCGTACTAAACTGTAGTACATTTGGGCAAAGTACATTCTAGTTCCACTATAGTCGGGGAAATATTTTCCCTACTGAAAGCTGTTAGTATTCTTGAAGGATTGCATATATATTTTTCATTACATCTACTGATATAAAAGAAGTAATACACCGCATTTCCCTTGGAAGCGTTGGAAGCATGTTTATTCCTAGTTCATGTTTCCTGGCTCTATAAAGTTGCAGTGTCTTGACCCATTTCATTATGAATGTGGTATTAGAACATGAATATCGAAAATGTGAGGGGTGGTCATCTTGTTTGGGGAGGTTGTATTGATGGTTGAAAGCTTCGTTTATTTGTTATGCTTGAAAATATAGAACTTGATCTTAACTTGCATCATGCACCATTTTTTTTTGTTTCTTCTGTTGCAATGTCCAAACTTCTTGGTGTAATTGTCTTTTTCCTTTTTCCTTTTTGTAATTGCAAGGAATATTTGGTTCTTCCTGATGATCTCTTTGTTTTGGTTTGACTTTGATGCATCTTGAGAGTCATGCCTTGACTTTCTGTCACTATAATTGCAGGTGCATTCATATTTCTGAATAGCGCTGACACCATAAGTTTTTGATGGTGGAAGAAGTTTTTCTGATTTTAGATATTTCTTTTAAGAGGCATTTTTACCTGTATGTTGACTTGTGAAAAGTTTGAATAAGAAAGACAGCAATTCAGCAAAAAAAAGAAATAGAAAAAGAAAAAAAAAAAAAAAAGATTAGAAAGAAGATAAAAAGCATGAAAAAAATAATATTGTGAAGCTCCACTGGGAAAAAGATGGAATTGAAATACAATTCTGCAGTGAGAGATAAAGAAAAAGTATGACAAAATGGAAACCACAAAGTCATTTTTTTTTGTTGTTAAAAGTACTTTCACCTTAGGTTCAAGTTTCGACCTTCTTGCAAGAAGAAAGATACATTTGCCTATGAAGTGCAAACCCTTTTCATCGGCATGCAAATTCTAGTTGCCGAGTCTGGTTGCTGCAGGCAGCTGGTGGACGTGAGTATTCAGATTTGACTAGCTATTAAGCCTGATATGGTGAGGTGTCATTACTTTGCCTTCGGCCTTATCTTTTATTTCTTCTACGGCTACCAAAACTATCATTCTTGAACTATATGATCTGTTGTTGTCATGCTTCTATGGTGATCGGCAGTCAGTTTCCATTTGTACCTACACTATTTTTCATTGGGGTGAAAGAATGAGGGTAAGGAGTATTTCTTGTTTATTTAGGATGTAAATGAGGACCGTCAACATTTTGACTCCAAAGTTTGGCCGACGAGAGAATTATCCTTTGGACTTGTAATTGATTGATGAAATTTTTTCTTGAAACCACCTTTTAGATCCTTTTAGAGCATTGAAGTCGTTTATAGTTGCAAAATTTGATTTTACAGCAAGAAAAATGGAAAATATTTTGTGTCTAACCTTAGTAAAGCCAGGAAAGCTAAGTGTGCTGAGCTGGATGATCTTTCTCTTGTTTGGAAGGTGTTGGGGCACAAAATTGTTTCTCTTCCTTTATGTGTTGATATCCGGATGTGTATTATACTATAATATCATTATCTTTGGGATCATAGTTTTTGCAAAACTTAACCATAAAATAGATGAAGAATTCTAGCTTTCCATGAAGACTGAAGTGTCGAATTCCTTATTTCATTGTCACTTGCAGTTACAATATCGTGTTTAATAAATTTCATGTGACAGGTTGATTATGCATGTACCCCAGAAGAAGTTCAGCAGCATTTCCAGGCATGTGGTACTGTGAATCGAGTTACCATCCTGACTGATAAGTTTGGTCAACCTAAAGGTTTTGCGTATGTGGAATTCGTGGAACAAGAAGCTATTCAGGAGGCACTCCAGCTGAATGAGTCAGAACTGCATGGACGCCAGCTGAAGGTGAACTTTTTTTTTTTTCATCTTTTATTTGAATAGAGTAGTTTCTCTTTATCAACCATGTCATGTCATGTTTGTTGGTGGGAGGTGAGATATATAAACATGAAAGGCTCTGCACTAAGGACTTGGGACATACTGAACAGGTTGTGACAATAGACAAAATCTGTCTTGGAGTAAATCTGTCATTTAATTGTTGTACCTTGCTGATCCTTGTCTTGTCAGACTTAAAACACATAAACTGATTGTGGTTTGCTAGAGTAGCATATATGTGGATTACAGTACTCGACTAAAAATAAGATTGGAGTTAGGGGTGGGCATTAAAACCGGACCGAACCGAATTGATTCGGTTCTCCGGTCCTGTTTCGGTTTTGAAGTTGAAGTATTTGGGTTTAACCAAAATACCAAACTATTTTTATATAATTATAAAATATATACTATACACATTTTGAGCCCAAAAAGACCAAACCCAAATACCCAATTCTGCATACAGATCATGTAAGAAGTTTTTGCACGGATTGCCCCTATTTTGAAGTGGTCTTTATTTTTTGCGCCTGCTGCTCATTTAATGAAAAATTGTGGGCCAAAGTACGCTTATCCATGACCTAATTTCACAAGGCATAAGTTTAGAAATTTTTGTCTTGTCCGGCATAAGTTTTGCAGGAATCAAGTTATCCGGCATAAGTTGTGTAGAAGCCGGAAGGTGAACACTAATTCATTGGATGTTAATTCCCTTTAACTTACGTCTATAGATGACCCTTTCAATTGAGTTATAACTTTAGCACTGTACGTCGATTATAATGTTCCAATAGGTGAGTTTGTATAATTTGTTCAACTGTAAAATCTTTTATGTTCTTTATTTAGATTATGTGGTTTTGTAAGTATTATGATTAAATATGAGGTCATACCAAAGAACCGAACCAATTTTGGTTCAGTATATATCAGCGAAGAATCAAAAACCAAAGTTTTAAATAACCGAATTGAAGAGCCAAATGTTGACCTAATTGGCGTAGTAGCTTAAAAGGAGGATATGGTTGTTGTTCAATCAGTCAAACCAAACTACTCGGGCACTTTTATGAAGTTTTAGTTTTCTGTTTTTGCAACCAAATGCCATATTATCTATGACACACTAATACGGTGTTTCCACCGAGTCTTTTCTTATTTGATGTGTTCATATTGTGATTTTCCCCCTCTATTGCAGGTTATGCCCAAGAGGACTAATGTACCAGGGATGAAACAGTTTCACCCTAGACGTTTCAGTCCTTATCAACCTTACGGATTCAGAAGGCCATATGCACCTGCCCCTTATTTCTATTCTCCTTATGGATATGGGTAAGTTTGATTCAGTTGATCATCTCGCCTCGACAATCAAGTAGATGAATCACACGTATGATTGTTTCGCATTTTGCAGGAAAGCTCCAAGATTCAGGAGGGCATCACGGTACATGCCTTACTATTAAACCATGCGATATGCTGCTACAAAATCTAATTCAAGCAGTCACTTTAATCATAAAAGATCATGAATACTGTATCAACTAGATTTTGCTTGAGACATTATAGCCATTGCCTATCATAAGTTTAGGTATCCTTCATCTGCATGTGATTTTTAGGGAAGTCCTTTCTGTATTAGTATTCTGGAAGCATTTACCGATTTGATAATACATTTTACTTGGAGCATTTCTGCTGCAACTGTTTTGAGTTAGTCTTTAAATTTTTGCCACTAAGGATTCCTTCACCTCTAAATCAGAGGTCTCGGATTTGAGACTTGGGGGAACGTGAAACAATCTTGTAGGGGATGCTTCCTCCAACACAGATACCGGATAATTTTGTATCACTCACATGTTATTGAGGATTACAGTTCTCTTCTGAACAAACAGGGTCAACAATGTTTCAGCACACTTTTCGTTAGGGATCTCTTCTTGAGGGCCTTAGAAGATCACTTAGACAAATGCTGGTAGACCTTGTTGGATTCTAGCTTTCACTTCACATTTTTTTTGTGACAGTAGTGTCCGGAAAGCTTGAGTGCACCTCGAGTATTCCATTGGATACTAGGTACCTCCCACCAGCACAAGAATCAGATAACTCTATTCATCAAGGCTTAGACAGATGAGATGAATATATGCATGGAAATCTTTGTTATATATGAATAGATAGGTAAGTACACAGAGTCAGGAATGTAATAGAACAGAAAAAGAAAAGAGGAAAAGGTACACAAAACAGAATTCACATTTATACATTGTAGAAAGCAGGTTAACTTTCATATATAGAGTAGTACAATTTTTAGAACTTGTGGAAATTGAATAAGTAGAATTTGATCGTCAAACCTCAAGGAGATTGCGGCCAATCATATCCAGAGTCCACAACATTTAAGTCATCATAAAACCACATTTCGACATCCTCAATAACTTGATCATCCTCCCAATACACATCAGACATCTCATCAAAGTCGTCATCGTCCACATCACCAGCCACAAAATCCCACCGTACATAGCCAGAAGAACTTGAATAGTCAGAGCAATTGTCCCAGCCATTCCCATCATAGCAATCTACAACAATCGGACCGACCACCTTTAGCTGATGGAATGTCTTCATGAAATCATCATCGAGGTTCACATTCCAACATCCTCTTACATCCAGTAGCTCAAGACTTCTGCAGTTTTGAAGTACCTCAATTATGCATCTTGTACCAACCAACATGTAGGCAATCTCCAGTTGCTTGAGATTTGGCATTGTACTTGATATCGCCAAGGCTTCATCGTCTTGGGATAGCTTGCCAATAACCTCAAGGGGATGCATTGTTCGACGCAAACCAGTGAGACATTTGCAGTGCTTCCCTATAGCTTCAAGGGCTCTGGCTCCTATTTTTAAGCAGTAGCTTACATCCAAAAATGTAATGTTCGTGAACATTCCCACAACTTGTTCCACAACGGAATCACCTATTTCACTTTTTGGCAACCGCAACATCTGCAGAGATTTGGCACTTGCAAGCAAAACAGAAAAGGGATTAGACAAATAATGACATGGTCTTTACTGCTAGATGAAGAGCTCACATAACTCCATCTAAATCACCAACAATCTCAAAGTTCATTCACATCATGCAAATGGATAAGAAGAACCATTCTGAAACTCTATACTAACTCACTTGAACTTGAAGTACAGTATCTTAAAACGATGTGCAACTTATAATGTACTATAGACTACTGCAGTAGCTGAGAGATGGAAATACTATCAAGACTGATAATGTACTAACTTGTTTGCAATGAATGAGAAGGTTGAGTCGCGAGAGAGACTGGAAACACAAAGCTTACGCAGAGAGCCACAGCTTCTTGTAATAAGCAATTGAAGCATACGATCAAGGTTATCAGGGCATCGATTTTTGCTCCATTCCTCAATGTCAATCTCTTGCCAACAATAAGGACCCTTTGCTGCTTTTCCCCATGACTTGCACACCCTTGGGACTATAGTTAATACCTCTTGAAGTGAAAGGTTTCTAAATATTAGCCCAAGTGCATCAGGAATCAATTCATCCCATCGACGAAACTCAAAACTCTCCTCCATCTTAGCTCTTGATTTGCTGCCAAAGTAATGAGATATATTCAAGACAAGATTCTTTCATCACAATAAATCTCAAAAACATCATTGCTTCAATGCTTGAAAGAGGCACAAAGCTCAGAAATTTGGGTAATCAACAGCTATAATTTCAACAAATGATAAACAAGATCCAGAAGAAGTGAAAATGTAAGCAATTGAATAGTGAAATCACAAACACAAATCAACAAATATTTAAAAGATGAACTAAACACAAGGCCATAAAAAGAGAGAGAATTCTATAACTATATAACAGAAAAAACAAGATTTCTCAAAATACATCAAATTGGTAAACCATAAAAAAGCAAAAAGAGACAATCTTTACACAAGAAATAAAATGTTAAGAAAAAGATAAAAGGATCTACCTTAAAATCCATCCATATTGCCACAGCAAAACACTAAAGCAATGAGATTCCAATGAGTTAAATACCCAAATCAGCCAACACCCTTTTGAGAAAAATACTTACATCAAGAAACAATCATCTAAAATTCTCAAGAAAAGCAAATGAATTCTAAGAATTTCTGTTGCAAAGTACAGCTGAAAAGAAAAAAGATCAAATTTTTACACCAGTAAACAGAGGTATCTGAAGAACCCCAAAATCAAGAACCACAATACTTATGTAACAAAACAGCAACTTCATGCACAAACTCAAAAAATGCATACAAAGAACGAAAGGGTGTCAGTAAAAAAGAGAAAAATGCTCAAAAACAGCAAAAAAAAACATAGTATTTACCTAAGAATTTGTACTCTTGGATCTGTAAAATTTACACCGGTTTATCCGCCTAAAATGAAGGGGCAAGAGAATGTGAGTTTTCAGTTAAAATGGTGTTAGTGTTAGGTAGAAGAAAGAAACAAGAAGAGAGACAAAAGAAACAAGATTTGATAACAGGGCTTAAAAAAAAAGGAAAATGTGAAGGTGATTCGAGTATGTGCAGGGGAGATGCATGGGGGTCGTAAGAGATTGACTATGAATGATTTCAAGAACGGTGAAAGTATATGCCTAAAAAACATTGAGGAGAGGTGATTAGACAAGACATAATGCAACTTTCACTTACGGAGGATATGATGGTAAATAAAGGTTATGATAAAACAAAAATTAGGATAAGAGGTTAGTTAAATAGTTGAGCGGTGTCTTGTTTGTTCTATTTTACTATTAGTTGTATTACTTTTTGTAGTTTCTTGTCTTTTGAATTTGGTTATTATTTGTAGTTTTTTTTAAGTATAAATTATAGGAACCACATATTA